AGGTACCGGCACGCGGTAGAAGGTCGCGGTCGTCCAGGAAGAGCTTGTAACCCCTACACCGCTCCAGTTGCGGCTTCAGGATGAAGTTCACGAATTTGCTGTCCTCCGGGCAGTCGCTGTAGGAGATGAAGGCGTCGTAGAGCTTCCCGTCTACGGACGGCGGCCAGTCAGCGCGGCCTTTCCGAGGCCTTGGACCCCAGACCCTGGTCCCAGCGCAGCACCTCCCACAACTCCCTTGTTCTGCGTCCCAGCTGGGTGCCCTCGGAGACCCAGTGCCCCTAAGGAGGCCCCCGCCGCCCCATACGCACGCACCGTTCATCTCCACCTCCCCATGCCTGTCTTGGTACCAGAGCAGCACGTTGAGGCGACACTTCACATAGAGCAGCCCTGCAAGCAGCAGGACCAGCAAGACCAGGAAGGCGGCCAGTACCGCAGTTACATGGCCTGCTGGGCCTGCGGACAACGCAGGCCTGGATCACTGCCCCTCAGGACTGGAGGCCCAAGTCCTCCCACTCCCATCCCACGCACCCCCTCACCAGCTCTCTGAAGAGTGAAGGAAGAGGAGCTGATGTTGTGGACAGAGCAGGTGAAGGTCCCATAGTCCTCAGCATTGGTCACATTGATGCACAGGACACTGGACACAAGCACCTCTGAGGAGTTGGTCTTGACCCTAGGGAAACCAAGCCCATTCTCAACTTGAGCTAAGCATCACCTCATCCAGAGCCACATCTTCTGGGGCTCATATGAAGAGGCTGTTGGGCAGTTCTTGGGCCCTATGCTAAGAGAAGTGGCCAGAACCTGGAAGGCTATGGATCTTTTTCTGGACAGTCACTCCTATCCTGGGCCTGGGTCCTGGGGTCCTCTGACCCCAGGGTTGGCTGGATGGACAATGCCTCATTCAGGCCCTGATCCCGGCAGGTGCAATGCAGGGTGCACCAGGTCGCACCGCGGGCCCTCGAAGGTGATGAAGATGGGTCTGCATGTCAGACCCATAGCCCTGAGCAGTTTGCTAGGGGAGAGTCCATAAGGAGCATGAAGACCCTGGACCTGTCCCCACAGTTACCAATATCCACAGGGTACTCTGCCATGTGAAAGCCTGGCCAGTTACTACCCAGCCACATACAGGTGGTTACAGATCAGGGTGTAGACAGAGAGGCTACTGGCAAGGGGTACATCCAGGTGGACACTCTGACCCTAGACATTCCAGTTCTTACCAGGAGTCCTCATGGTAGTGGTTTATGTTGCCCAGTGGAAGCCCATCTTTTAGCCACTGGACTGAAGGTTGGGGGCAGTGGGGCCCAGATACCACCCAAGCCGTGCAGTTCAGAGCAACTGCACTGCCCAGGGAAGGTCCTAGGGCCTGATCTCCAGCTGGAAAGAGGAAATCTGGGGCCCTGTCACAGACACCTGCAGAGAGAGGACACCACACATCAGCTGTGCCAGGATAATGGACTCCCACCCCATCCATTTCAGTGGTCCCAGAAAAACAAGGTAGTGGGAGAGTGGTATGTTGCTTGGTGATCACAACAGGAGCACCCATGGAAACCAGGGAAAGAGAGCCCAGCACCTGTCACCCTTCCCCCAGCTGTGGCCAGTCTTGGGTGCTCTGTTCTGGATGTAATTTCCTTGGCCTCAGGGGACAGCTCCAGGCAGGGCAGTGGCCAGACTCATTGCTGAACTGACCCAACCCAGCACACAGGGACCATCTGGCCACTCATCCACACAGGATAGGAGTCTAGCCCTCTATACTTCCCACTCCAGAGGAGGGGCCAGGCATCACACCCCTCAGCTTGGCCTGCCTCTGCTGGGGGTGCTGCAAGGAGTGTGAGCACCACTGGTTTGGGAGATCACAGGCTAGGTGTACTAGCCCCTTCTCCAGGGATGGGAGAGCAGGGAACTTGGATTCTAGGACCTTCTGCTGCTGTGCCCTATGCTGTGTGTGTGTGTGTGTGTGTGTGTGTGTGTGTGTGTGTGTGTGTGTGTTTTAAGACCCACCTCACCACCTGCTCTGGGTTCAGGACCAAGGGCAAAGGAGGAGTGAGCAGAGACCTTTGTACCCATGGCAACTGTCCAGATAGACAATTCAGGGTAAAAGCAGAGGGCATAATGTGGAGTGAGCCTGAAGGGCAGAGGTAGGAGTGGGGACTTAGGCCTGTCCATCCCTGAGCCACCTACCTGCCATGGGCTCTGGCTGGGGCTTCTTCAAGGCAGGCTGGACTCTGGAGCCACCTCTGCTCGATGGGGTTCTTTAACAAAGCAGACAGATCCACCAAGGGCTCGGCAGGGCCTGTCTCTGTCCTTGTGACTGGTTGGACAGAGTGCCTGCACAGGACAGAGGCTACTGCCATCCCCAAGAGCAAGTTAAATAGGAACAGGATGGGTTAACCAATAACTACCAGCCATAGGTGGCATTATCCTTGACTACCCCAGCCAATCTCATGGGTGCCAGTCACCAGAATGGCCGTAATAGGCACTGCCTCAGCCAGAGACGCAGGGAGAGAACCTCAAGTCCAGGACCACTTTCATATACCCTGAGGCCACCATGAGACCCAGGGGTGCCATGGAAATGTGCTCAGTGGGACCTGGTGGGACAATGTGATAGTTACCCTCCTTCCTGGCTTTCCTTGCAGTGGACTGCTATGTTTGGGGTGTACGAGCAGGCTTGGTAGTTGGAAGGTGTGAACCTGGCATGTGGTGGGTACCTGGCTACCTGGCTTCCTGACTGGCCCAAGCCTGCTCTTTGCTGTGGGCTTTTGTTCTGGGTACAAGCAAGTATGCACGGGTACGTGTAGACACCTCACCCCGTGGACACCCCAAAGATCAGCTGGTTCCTGAGGGTACATCAGAGGACCTCTCAGGCACCCCTTCTCCTGGGTCCTCTACCCCAAGTGACTCTTCTGGGTTATTCTCAGCCCACAGGGGCAATGACACAATCCTTGTGACTCAAAAGCTCTGTAATGACATGGTGCAGAGAGGTGCCACGACCTGTACTTCAGCAGCCCAGGGCCCTGGGTTCAACCTGTCTATGCAACAGGGATTCATGGAGCACCTACTCCCTCCTTGGTGAGTGGACACATGGCAGCAGGGACCTAAGATCAAGTGCTGAGAACTTGTGCTTGGGCTCCCCAAGGCATCCCCATTAGGACCCCTGGATTCCCTGAGGCTTTGGCAGGAAGGAGCGCCTTAGCCTGTCCCCTATTCCTTCTGCATAGCCAGGAACCCCAGGCTTGGCTGGACACAATTTCCTCTGTAGCTGGTACAATATGAGCCACATACCTGCTCAGGCTGGTAAGGGGTCCCTCTAGAGCCCTTGGTGGTGGAGAGCAGCCCTGTGAAAGTCCTTGACACAGAACAACCCCCCACTGAAAGCTGAATAAAACAACCTCTCATACACTCAACCCTTCACAGCATGACTAGGGGACAAACCACCAGTCCAGCAGGTCCTGCAGCATCTCCTAAAGTGGCCCCTTATCATTCTCCAGGCCAGATAAACTTTGAACCCCTGAAAGTCTATTTCAGACCTTCCTGGGAGTCAAGGCCAAACCAAAAGAATCTGACACAGGGTTGGCAGCTGGTTCCCCTTCCCCTTCCCCTACCCCAACCCCCACCTGCCCTGAGGTCCTGGCATACCCACACCCTTCACATAACATACTTCCTGCCCCACACACCCCCTGGTGCCAACACACAGGGCTAGGTTGCCCATACTTGCCACACTCCCATCAAGATTGGCCACAAGCTGCCACAGCACACACTGCACTCCTCCTGCCACTCACACACACTTGTACGTGCAAGCATGCGCCCCAAGCACTGTAGCCTCCCTAAGGCCCTGCCCCAAGCACAGGGCCAGAGCCCCAGGCCCTCAGACCAGATGCAGAGTACAGTCACCTGGTTCCAGTTCTTTCCTCCTGGAAGGAGTTGGTCATTGAGTTTGCTCATGTGGTTGGAAGCAAGCTTTTCCCTCCAGACAGCATCCACAGACCCTCAGCTGCCCGTGATACATAGCCAAGCTCAGTGAAGACCTGGGTTTTGTTGATGTATGTTTTAATCAGAACTTTCCCCGTAGCTTCCTGGTGTTACAGTCACATCCTCTCCTAAACCTAAACCCCACCCAAGCACCCACCCCTTCCCCTGTCGGGGCAGGCAGTTGGTGGCTCTCGCCCCGCCTGCAGTGTCTTCCTGTAACTCTGAGTCAGGCGGCCCCTTCCTCTGGGGGCTGCCCAGGTCTCCTAGGCCCACGCCTTCCTGTGTGCAGTATGGGGAGGGGGTTCAGGGGGGCAGAGATTTGGGGTGATGTGCAGGGGTCCTGGAAGGAATCCTGCGGTCAGAAGCATCCCACAAACACACAGTGCCATCTGGACAGGAGAACCTGCCTTCCAGATGCCCCCTCAGTACCATGGCCCAGGAATGAAGGAGTTCTCTTTTGCACCCCCACCAAGTGAGTAGCCCCAGGGTCTCTGACCTCAACCTTCTGGGTGAAGGGGGTTCAGAAACTCCCCACAGGGATAGGCATGGTAGCGCATGCTTATAATCCTAGCACCCAGGAGGCTAAGGGCAGGAGGACTGAGTTTGAGGCCAGTCCCTGAACTATTCAGTAAGACTCTGTCTAAAAAAAAAAAAAAAAAAACAGGAGGACTGAGTTTGAGGCCAGTCCCTGAACTATTCAGTAAGACTCTGTGTATAAAAAAAAAAAAAACAGACAGAAACTCCCCACCAACAATGGGCCCAGAGCAGGGCTCTCTGGCCCAGTAACATCCTCCACAGGAGTGAGCACTTGTACAGGCTGTGGTGTCTTGTGGACCTTAGCTTTGTGGCTGGGGCAGGGTGTAGAACAGGGCCCCTCTAGGTAAAGGCAAACACAGGAGGCCACAAATACTGGCTGAGTGTAGTGGGGAGCAGCTGACATCTATGGTCACCACGGACTCCCACCCAGGCTGTTCTGGGCCTTGGGGTCCACTGACTAGAATCAGATGAGGGTGTCCTCTAGCCCTTGGCCCTGTCTGTAACCCTGCAGGGCAGGGGCCTCATCCTGGAGCTCCCCTCCAGTCTCCCTGCCCTTAGCTGAGCCCACCAGGGAACACCTTCAATTCAAGATAGGTTTCCTCCCTCCTTCCCCAAACAGCCTAGCCCAATTCAACACCCTGTGGCCTGGTGCTCACACCCTTGGGTGCAGGTGCTCTTCGGGCTCAGAGCCAGGAAGAGCTGGAGGGAGCCAGCTGGATCCCCACCTCCACCTTAGTTTCTCAGAGCTGGCTGGAGTTGGTACTTAAAGGTGCCATTCAGCCCTTGTAAGCACAGAACTGGTCATCAGCTCTTCATGGAGGAGGTCAGAAAACTGAGGCACCTGGGCCAGACAGAAGAGGAAGCGCCCCACCACCACCACCAACAGCCTCTCAGCCTCTAGCACAGCCTACCACGCATCAGGGCTCTGTGCACCGAAGTCTGTGTCACCCTCTCTCAGCGTTGGTCGCCACAGTAATGACTGGACACCCGTCCTTCCCTCCTTCTGCTAATGTCTGTTCAACTCCACCGTCCACCCCAGGCCAGCTCTGTTGGGGTACACATAAAAATCCACTCTCCGGCACACACAGCCCTCCCGAGGCACCACAGGCCCTGTCTAAACCCCCAGGCCTCTTGGGTTGCCCTGACCAGTCCCACTCTGTGGTTCCTGGGGCGCCCTGAGGCCCAGCCATGGCCCTGAGCCTCTGTGGCAGTGCGAACTCCCAGTCAAGCCCACTGCCCCTCACTCTGTCTGGCTGGCTGATCTCAGGGGTCCCCTAACCAAAGGAGGTGCTTAGGACGCCACGCACGCAGGCTTCTGGACCGTGCCCCGGAAAGCGCGCTTTGCTTTCCGGAGAACTCGCGTAATTAGGGGACTCGGGGGCGAAAGCCGGAGCTCAGGCTCGCAGGCCGCTCCGGGTCCCTTAGGACACCAGAGGGCTCGAGAGGAGGGGGTGGGGTCCTCTGTGAGCCCCCGTCTCGAATCATTTTCCGCGCCTTTCTCCGCGGCCTGGCACGGAGGGTCACAAGGACCCAGCAACCCCGTCGGGCGCGGAAAGGCAGCCCGGGCGGCGG